GTTCTTATGAGAAACACTAAATTGGGTAACTTCATTGTATGAATAAGGATAGTCGCAATATATGATGATTTTGGGGGATTCGAAGGGTGTTCATATGCACTCAAGAGCATATGTCTCGCTTATCCCTTTGGCGTGAGTCCTTCTATGAGTTTTCCTGTATTTCTGTATTATGTCCCCCTTAAAGATGTTGCCAGAGACCTTTATTTATATTTCCAGTCCTCCTCCTCATAAATAGTTACATTTATTGGATTTTACGGTCATAATACATGTAACTGACTATTTAACCTTTTGTAACGCTTTCATTAATCAAGTGTAACTGCCACATTAATGGTTTGTAACCAACACTTATTGAGTTTTGTAACTGAACCACAACTAGGCAAGGGATAACTCAGGCAACACAACTAAGCCAAGAATAACTCGACCAACACAACTAGGCAAGGGACAACTCAGCCAACACATTTAGGCCATGAATAACTCGGCCAACACATCTAGGCCAAGAATAACTAGACCAACATAACTAGGCCAGGAACAACTAGAACTAGGCTACAACTAGTCGGCCTCTATCATTTTAGAATTGATCGGCATATCTAGTTGTATTACTCATTTAAGAGAATTATGGGATGCACAAGTACCTATTCTGTCGATGGTGCCGCTGGGTGAAGATTTGATATGATGCAATTAATCAGTGTGTTACCTTTCTCGGTGTTTAGCAGTGTGTTGACTAGGAATTTTGACTGCATGAGTTTTTAAGTTGAAAATGATACATTTTTTAAGAAATGTAGTTCGAAAGGTAGCATGAAAGTGATTTTATGAAGATTTCAATGGGTGAAAAACCAATAAAAGCTTCATTTCTCTAAGTGTTGGCGAAAGATTCGTTTGCGAACCATTGGAACTTAAGTTATTTGAAGTATCATCAGAAAAAATATTTCGGCCGTCACGTTTGTGTTATTTGGCACTTCGAATACAAAAGGGCTTTTCAAATTTGAAAGTTTGATCTTATCCAAAGGGACGCGTGGAAAGATAGGGTTCGAAGGCCCATGCAGATATCGAACGTGGCAATATATTATAAAGAAAACGCTTTGGTCGAATTAGTATAAATTAGGGTCTTAGCATTAGGATTAAGTGTGTTCACATCTTTGTACAAATTACTCTAAATTACTCAAAGTACCATCGTTCGAGAAACGAGTTATGAGAATGTACGTATGATGCACCAATTTTACGTTTATTGCCATTCAACTTTAATTGAAGTTTATATATTCCTTTTAAGTTTAAGTCGAAATTCTTTTACATATCAGTTTTTTTCTTTAAATCATTATATTACTACATTCGAAGTAACGATCAAAATCAATATTGTTTAAAAGATTAAGAATGCTATCAAAAGTATTATTTGTTTTCAAGAACAAAAGTTTGAATAAGAACACATGTACTTAGGATCAATCTGGTTGATCCTGCAAGTCACCAATATTTTCTTTGATTTGAAAGACCAGCAATTATTTACCAAATTTCACAGTAAACACGGTGGCCAGCGACTAACTCTGACTGCAATGGCAGCTAGTTGGGTTCAGTTCGACTTTAATCCAAATTCATTCTAATGGGGTTTAATTCACGAAGAGTTCATCACCAAAACACAACTTCAAAAACTTATTTCATACTGAGATGCTCATCTGGTTAACAAGTTTGCAAGAATAATTTAAATAACATTACAACATGAAATTATGCAGTTTTAGAAAAGCCAAACTTGAAAAAAACAGTTTTAATAGCAAATATAAACAACTGCAACAAAAGAAATAAAATTACTCATAAAAAATTTGCAACTTTAAACTATAACATATAACATGCGTTTCTCCCTCTTTCTGCCAATGTTTTCCCACTACATAAACCAAATATTCAACGTCAATAATAACAAAGAGATATATCATCACCATGTTCTCAACTAGGTTATCGAAGAATGATTCGTTAGCATCGTATTCGAGCTTATCTTTGTCGGCATCACTACACGAAAACACTAATAGAACAACAAGAGTTACAGAAACAAAAAGCAACTCAGATTCATACTGATGGATTCTATTCTGATTCAGATTGGATTTGGATTGCATCATAAACCTAAAACAATAATCTACTAAATTCTAAAATTAAAAAAAGATCGAACAAAGATTTAGGATTTTAATTTAGGCATAAACAGATCCATAAGATAGAGACAACAACCTTTGCACCAACCTTTAGTAATCATCCTTCTGTAACTTTATTCAGATATATCATCGGTGTATTTCCAATAAACTGCATCAATTAGTTTCTAACAATTTTTCAATTTTTCAAATGTAAATCAATTATAAGGAGAAAGTGTTTTTGAAATAAGGAATTATTGAAATTAAGCGAAATAGATGTAAAGGTAATTTTGTTGGAGGTTGGTTAAAAATATACATGTTGAAGAAGTCCCACATTGCTAATTTTGTAAAGGAAGAGGGAGTCCAAGACTATATTTAGAATTAAAGTTTTTTCAAGTTCCACATCACTTAGTTTAGTGAATGAAGAGGGAGTCCAAAGCTATATATATGATTCAAGTTTTTCTTTACAAGATGCACCAATCTAAAACACTCTAAGTTTGTATTTGATTTTTTTTCTTTTCTCTTATGCTCTTGTGTTACAATGTTGTGAGATGTAGTTAAATATTTACTTTGGAGAGTGTGAGTGTATTGAGGGTCGTGGGGTGATTGAGAATAAATGATGTGTTGTAACAATTTTCACATAGTATTATTCTTTGATTGTCATTTGACAACGACCGTGGTTTTTTCTCCGGTTCTGGAGTTTCCACATTATGTCTTTGTGTTTTGATTGTGTTCCTCTTTTTTCTCCATGGTTTGTTTGATTTTTCCCCAATAACTAATATCAGAGCCTGGTTCGATCCAAGTATAAGTGTTATTAGTATTCTTTGTGGTTGCAGTTTTATCTGATCTTCCACATTAGAAAAGATGGGTAGTGTTGTAAAAAAGTTGTTAAGCTGCAGTCAAAAGTTTTGCTGTGCAGTTTGGCCTAGAGAAAATTGATGGGAGAATTGTTTTTGACTTCTGAAAAGTTCAAGTAAAAAATGTGTTGGCACAATCAAGATTACACAAGATGTAAGATTATGTCAATAGTTGAAGAGCCTCTTACCAACATGAAAGTTGCACCGTAAAGTTTCAACTTGGTTTTTGACATGTGAAAAATTCTTGAATTGGTTTAGCTTCAAGTGAAATATACTATTCTTTAGGTGGAGTATGATAGTTTTTAAAACTATGATTGTCGGTGAAGACAATGAGAAAATTCTTGAAGTGATGTAGCTTCAAGTGACTATACTCTTTATGGTGGAGTATGATTGTAGGTGAAGACAATGAAAACTTATGTATTATTTTTAATCAAGGTGGAGATTGTTGGGGTCGGTTGAAAACATACATGTTGAAGAAGTCCCACATTGCTTATTTTTGTAAAGGAAGAGGGAGTCCAAGACTATATATAGAATTAAAGTTCTTTCAATTCCCATATCGCTTAGTTTAGTGAATGAAGAGGGAGTCCAAGGCTTTATATATGATTCAAGATTTTCTTTACAAGATGCACTAGTCAAAAACACTTTAAGTTTGTATTTGATTTTTTCTTTTCCCTTATGCTCTTATGTTAGAGTGTTGTGAGATGTAGTTAAATAGTTACTTTGGAGAGTGTGAGTGTATTGGGGGCCATAGGGTGGTTGAGAGTAAATTATGTGTTGTAATAATTTTCACATAGTATTATTATTTGGTTATCATTTAACAACGTCCATGGTTTTTTCTCCGATTTTGGAGTTTCCACGTTATGTCTTTATGTTGTGATTGTGTTCCTCTTTTTTCTCTATGCTTTGTTTGATTTCCCCCAACAAATTTAAGTACATGAGTAACATCTTTGGCGATGTTAACGGCGTCGAGTCCTTCTTTGGTGGTGGAGTGGATTTGCAGAGTATAAGATGTAGTGGATACAGTAGCGTTGGTGATAATTGCTCGAGCATTTCCTATACGAATTCGTGGAAGAAAATCTCAACAGAGAAATCCTATGGTTACAAATTCATGGAAGAAAATCTCAACAAAAAACCTTATGGCTAGAGTTACTGCCGAAAAATTGAAGATGAAAAAGAAAAAGAAGAATTTTGACGATTGCAGATGAAGATGTAGATGAAGGGTTTGTGAGAGATTTCTCATGATTTACTAAAATCAAAGATGAAGAAGAAGGGTTAGTGAGAAGTTACTCATGATCTTTATTTATTTGTGATTGTTTAAAATATGTAAATATTTAATAATAATGATAGTAACCTAGTAATCTTGATATTGACATCAAATCTAAAATCGTGATATCATTATATTATAAAATGCAAAGAATCTATTGAATAATAATTATGACTGAAATTATGATAATAATAACATTAATAATTTTAAAATAAGAAATGTAATTAATTTTGATAATGGTTAATTTTAAAAGTTTGATAGTAATCAAGATTTATATTGATAGTAGATAAATAAATTTGTTGGAATGACTTTGAGCCAATCTCTTGATAGATTTGAGTTGGATGTAATAGTTGACTGACCAAAATAATTCATTTTACTAATAAAAAAAACTAAGACATCCAATAAATTTGATTAATTTTTTAAATAAAAGTTGAAAAAGAAGCACCCATGAAAAGTCAAGCCGAAAACACGTAAAAACGGTATACTCGCAAGAACCTTCCCTGACTCCGTGAATGACTGAAACAAAAAATATTAAATAAAAAAAAAAGACCAATAAACAGACAAGACAGAGAAAGCTGCAAAACTAACAAAAACGACTCTCGAAAACCTCTTTCCACGTTCCCGTCACGTCCTTTCCCACTCTCTCTCTACTTTATCCTCTTCCACCAGAAACCGCGTCTTTCCAAGGACATTTTCGTCATTCCATCTCCTCTCCTAAATCAACACACCCCTTCTTCTCCTTCACTCCCAACATCCTAACCAGTAATCACCAAAATGTCTGAAAACGGTGAAGAGAAATTACTCGCTGTGGCGCGCCACATAGCAAAAACGCTAGGCCACAACAACAACATCATGGCCGATGATATCCTCCAAATATTCTCCAACTTCGACGGTAGATTCTCCAAGGAGAAACTATCCAACGAAGGTGCAGGGAATGATTCCCTACGCTGCGCTGCACTTGAACAAACTATTAACTCTCTCCACCGTCGGATTTCTCATCATCTTTCATCGGAAGATTTTATCTGCTATAACTCCGCCGCGTTTCTCGCCGCCGTTGACGAGCTTGTTTCTACTATTGAAGACTGGAGTCCTCTCTCCGATGATAAAACCGTCGGCGCGTGTCTTATACGCGCCGATGATATACTCCAGCAAGCTATGTTCCGTGCGGAGCAAGAGTTTCGAACACTTATGGAACTCGGAGGTGAGTCGTTTGACCTGTCTCGGAGTAAAGAAAAGTCAACTCTGTATGACTTGAACGGCGAAGAGGAGGAGAATGAAGAAGAAGTTGACGGCGAAGATGACGTGATTCCGGTGGCGAAGGCGGTTGTTGATTACAACGTGGTGATAGACGCGCTTCCGCCGGCGACGTTGAACGGACTGAGAGAAATCGCGAAACGGATGTTGGCGGCGGGGTTTGGGAAGGAGTGTTCGCACGTGTATGGAGTTTGCAGGAGGGAGTTCTTGGAGGAGAGTTTGTCGAGGTTAGGGTTACAGAAACTGAGTATCTCAGAGGTTCATAAGATGCCATGGCAGGAGCTTGAAGACGAGATTGAACGATGGATTAAAGCGTCTAACGTTGCTCTTAAAATCCTCTTTCCGAGTGAGCGGCGTCTCGGTGACCGTGTTTTCTCCGGTTTGTCTTCTTCGTCAGCTGTCGCGGATCTGTCTTTCATGGAGGTCTGTCGTGGATCAGCGATTCAGTTGCTGAATTTTGCAGATGCTGTGGCCATTGGTAGTCGCACACCGGAGCGGTTGTTTAGAGTCCTCGACGTGTTTGAGACATTGCGTGACCTGATTCCGGAGTTTGAAGCATTGTTCTCTGATCAGTATTGCTTGTTTCTTGTTAATGAAGCTATCACAATTTGGAAGAGGTTAGGAGAAACTATAAGAGGGATTTTCGCGGAACTTGAGAATTTGATTAGCCGTGATCCTGTGAAGGCGGTTGTTCCCGGTGGTGGTCTTCATCCCATCACTCGTTATGTGATGAACTACCTTCGCGCTGTGTGTCGTTCGCATCAAACCCTAGAGCTTGTTTTTAAAGACAATGCACTTTCTTTGAAGGATTACGCTAAGGATGATGATAGGTTGCAATCAAATTCTCCGTTTTCGGTTCAAATTTCATGGATTATGGACTTGTTGGAACGAAATTTGGATGCGAAGTCTAAACTTTACAAAGACCCTGCTTTGTGCTCTGTTTTTATGATGAATAATGGGAGATATATTGTTAAGAAGGCTAAAGACAGTGAATTGGGAACACTTTTGGGTGACGATTGGATAAGAAAACACAGTACAAAAGTGCGACAATGCTATTTGAACTATCAAAGAAGCTCGTGGAACAAGTTGTTAGGATTTTTGAAGGTGGAGACAATGGCTGCAAAGCCCATGAAGGAGAAACTAAAGATGTTCAATCTTCATTTTGAAGAGATATGCCGGGTTCAATCTCAGTGGTTTGTCTTTGATGAGCAACTCAGGGAAGAGTTAAGGATCTCGGTCGAAAAGCTCTTGTTGCCTGCTTATGGAAGCTTTATTGGAAGGTTTCAAATTATTCCGGAGTTTGCTAAGAATGGTGATAAGTATATCAAGTTTGGAATGGAGGACATTGAAGACAGGCTTAACAATTTGTTTCAGGGAAGCAGTGGATCAAATGGTGGCCGAAAGTGAAGGTAAAGGGCTATAGATTATTGTGTGTATATGTATGAATGTATGAATTTGTAGTGTAATTAGGATGCAAAGTTTTGGATGTGATTAATGTAGTCCACATTTGCTATCTATCTATATATACCATTGTATGTTTTTCGCCTTTTTTTGTTCAGATTCTGATGGAATTTATACTCTGAAGTTAACACCATCTGAGTAGAAAAATTTAAACAAACATTTTGTTGTAAATTTTAGGTTCCCATTGGTGGTTTTCTTCAACTGTTCCATAGTAGTGGGTACTTTACATTCAAATGTTTAGAACAGTATTAAGAGTACCACCATGCCCCAGCACGAGTGGTTGGGGGCAGTGCACGTGAGTGTTGTAAGCCGCCTCATAGTACTGTGTTCGATTTCAACTCATTAAATACTTAAGAGTTAAGAGTGAGCCTTCTTGATCTCAAATTTTAGTCCAGTAAGTGTTTATGTTTCTCTTGTATTTTTTTGTTTTGTTTTGAGGCCGAAGTTATGGCAATGACAGAGATTAGTATACCTCTTTTATGTAGTGGAAAAACAGATTCAAATGTTTTGGATCCATTATATGATGGTTTAGCTAGAAAGATTCACGAGCCTTTTGAAGTAGTGGGCTAATGACGTGTATGTTCAAATTGGAATTTAGATGGTTTGCAGGGGATTTGGAAGTGGTGAATGACTTGATGATTATGTCAGGAAGCTTAACAGTTACAGCCATAGATTGAAACACTGAAACGGCGGAAGAATCATCCAGCATGTAAATTCAGTATATGTTTGGTATATTAACGGTAAGTTGCACATAATCACAGTGACATTGTGATTTTGTTCAAGTCACAAAGTTACCATCGCTTGTAAATGCATGGCAACCTTGAAGCTACATGTAGTTTTCAAGCATGCTAAAAGTCTAGCTTTTGTATATATTACTGCGGTTTTGTCAAACTCGCCGCAATATCAAACAAACACGCATGGTCCTAGACTAATTGAGCCATGGATTTCTGAATTCCAGTAATCTTACTGTATTCTTAGATTCACAAACCAAACATCCACAAATCTTTGCTCTTGTATTTCTTTACCAGTTGAGAGGCAGGTTTCTGTAAATCAAATTCCAAATTATGATCTTAACTATATTTACTTGTTAACTTCACCCTCATAATAGTTAATTTATATTTGATCAATTAATGCAAAGTCAATGGAGTTTGATGATGTTAGAGAAGTTTTTGTTTTTGTTATCTTCTTGTTTGCTAGTATATAGACAGAGACAATATAGCTAAAATAGATTGATCCTCTGTATGGATTCTACCCTTAATTGTTTATCCAAATATGACGATGTTTTAATTTGATATCGCTCATTTGAACCCGACAACCCCTTAATTTTCGTCATTCTTGAAATATCCTTGTTGATTTAAGAAGAATTTTTGTTGATTTAAGAAGAATTTTTGGACGAAATTTTTGGTAGAATAAATGATATTTTTGGTAAAGAGGAAATTTCTGGTAGGTCAGTACTAAAATTATGGTATTTAACAATTTTTGATAGTTCATATCAATTTCTGGTACACTGAAAATTTCAAATTTACGAGACAGTACCGAAAATTTCATATATATTGAAATTTATGGTAGTTTCATAATTCAAGTTTTTTTAACGATCAAGATTTTGCCGACAATTTTGGAGAATTCTGATTACACCGACAAATTTGTGTGGTCTAGAATGCATCGCCATTTGTATAAATAGGGACATATGTTAGAGACAAAGACATCTAAAAAAAATGTCGTTTTCACAATTTCTGATTAAGGCAGAAGTGTATTTCAACAGAAATAATCCTCCTGTTGAATTCAAGCTTCCAGATGATGCCACATTTTTCGTCAACTTGATAGAAAAGTTGAATGAATTGGTGTCTGATACCGATAACAGAAGAATGAGTAAGATCGAGTTTCGGGAAGATTGGATTGATAGTGATGGAAGGGTGAAATACAACCTGATTGAGTTGAAGACCGACGATGTTAAGTTCACGTCGTAGGATAACCAAGGATCCAATCGAGTTGGATGCGCGGATAACAAGATCCATCGACGACATAATGAAGATGCTGAAACGTCCAAAATTATCTAGTAGTGCCTAGGTTTCCATGTTTAGTTGTTTTTAATTTATGTTTGTTGTACTGTTTTATGTTATGTCGATCTTCGAATCGAAAAATATAACCGTCAAAATATTATGCAATAAATAAGAAGTCTATATGCCTAAAAATATACAAATAATATAGCCAAAATATAACAGATCTACATATGCCCCCACGGGCTACATCTGCTAACCTAGCTAAACTTGTATATATTTAACCACCAGGGTTTACTAAACCCATGAGTTTATCTAAATGAAGAGCAATAAATTGTAGACGGTTGTCCTGGTCACCTGCATGTGGTGGAGGTGGTGGTGGCGGCACGTAAGAAACCCTAACATGTGAAGTCCCTGGTACATTAGAAACCCTAGTCGGTGGTACAACCCGAGGGTGTGATATGTTGTGATACCACTCCAAGTATCCATCCTTACACTGTGCAGGATCCTGGATCATAACTATTGTATCCCTGATCTTACGGGTAAAGCTGATGATGTGACTCTGGAACCACCTGTCAATGCCACCAGATGAAGACTCTAGAATTAGACGAGGGATGTCCTGGACGTAACCATACTGTCACAGAATCCTCTCAAACAAGTGTCTAGCCACATGGTTCTCCCACCTAATAAGCCATGAATACAAAGTTGCATCGTCAAATGGACGATGGGCCCGATGAGATGTATATGGTGTCCAGACGACATCATCTAAGGTCAGAGCATCAAGCCTTCTCCTGTACTCTAGAACACCTCATGGATGATCTAGCTTGCCCTTCCATCTCATCGCCCGTGGATCACTAGCCGAGACACGCTAGATTTTCCGATCACAGATGTGGGGGAAGTGCTCGTATATCCAACACTACATAAATAAATTGATAACTCATATACTCAGATAAATTGATTAACACCAGATAATCAAATACTCAAATAAATGCTAGTTGTTTGGTCTCTGGCTGAGAAGAAACTCCAAGTGTTGTGTACAACATGGTCAACGCCGCCAGTCCCCAAGTCCAATATGGAGTGCCTAATGTACTGAATAGAGACAAGTAGCGAACATCAGTGTAAACACCAGACTTGTCTGCAAAGAGAGTATATCCCATCAAATGTAGCATGTACGCCATATCGACAACCTCATACCTATAGGCCTCCACTAGCTCCCCGTAGAATGTCCTCAACCAAGACATCTGAATGTGAAACTCCAATTAACGCCAAACTCCTCTAGTACCTTCTCCTCATATACCTCTAAATCATCCATGACCATGTGCAACGCTGTTGACTGGCTAATATGAAAAGGAGTGAAGAATGTACCAACGATCGGGATGTGAAACAAGGCGTCAACATCATCCAATATGATGGTCATCTCTCCACATGAAAGATGAACAAATGATGTCTCTGAGTGCCACCTCTCAATAAAAGCTGATAGAAGGGAGGCGTCGAGTATGGTAAAGAAGCACTGAGCAAGCTCCAACAGATGAAAATCTCTCACAATATGTCTGGCCTCCCCAGGCATGTCACCACCTTTTGGGAAGTTCTTCAACTTCGAACCATGGGATGCGAACTTCAACACCACATGCTCTTGTAAAAAATAAAGTACATTACACATCAAGCAGTTATGAAAAATTTGCAATAAAAAAGAAAATAAATATATATCTCACCCTACCATATCCTGTATGCGACGTGCTTAGAAAATCCTATCAGCACGTACCTGTCTGAAGGTCCTCTTGGAAAGCCTCTATTAGTGTGAACTGATGGCTTCATAGACACACGTGTCGTGGTGTCTGTATCAGTGAAAGACACCTCATCAGCTTGCACAACAACAACATGCTTAACAACCACAACCTGCTCATCCAAAACAATCTCCCTAGCAGCCGGCTCTACCACAACCTGCTCATCCACAGGAGCAAGAACATTCACAGGAGTGGGTGCCTCTACAGGAGCAAGTACCTCTACAAGATCATGTACGTCCTCGACCGTAGAAATTCTAGCAGTCCATCGTCAGGGTGAGCGAAACTGCACCTGCTGCTCAGCCAACCGTTTTCAATGAGAACCGGTCGGAGGACGTCATTCTGCACGTAGCTCAGAAGCTTGTGCCTCATCAGCTTGAGGTTGAATTTCCGCTCTATCAGTCTTCCTGTCCGCAACGGTACCGTCTTTTCTCCTGATTCTCACTAAAACAAATAAAGAAAACGATTTAAAAAAAGATTGAACTATCGGAAAATTTTTAAATTTTTGGTATTTAAAAAAAAAAATAAACTACTGGAAATTTACAAATTTCTGATACACAAAATGTACATCTGAAAATTTCAAAATTTCTAGTATATAACGTAACAAAATCATCGGAAATTTCTAAACTTCCGTGACAAAATATCGAAAATTTGACATAAAATATCATATTCTTACTCTTTCAAGAAATTTTCGGAATGCCCACGAAATCTCCGATATCACCTTATAAATTTGAAATTTTCGATTTAATATCAGAAATTTTAAAAATATGTGAAAAATCTTGATTGGACTATTTTGATATTTTCATCCAGTTTAGAAAGATGCTAAATTCAAGTAGAGGATGTCAAGTTAAAATCTCAAATATAGAGCCCATGAATTTATTATCTTATACAATCAGTTAGCACATTTCAGGTTTAGCCCAATTCTAAATAAGAGAATTTCTTAATACATTTTATTATTACTAGTACAGTTTGTGAAAAACTAAAATAAATATTTCTTAGATTTTGGAAAAATATCTTCAGACTCATTCCATTCACATACAATTTATATATTTTTGAAACACGTCACGATTTTATAAATAAACTAAATCTAAAAATAAATTTTCAAAGACTTTAAAAATGTATTTCCATAACCTACTGAACCAAAAAAACATGGTTTCAGAGAAAAGGAATTTTACTCGACAATGTAACGTTCGTACGGCTGACATGTACACATGGAGGCATCGTTGAAAAGGGCAAGCATATATTCCTGTCAATGACAAAAGACTTTAACATTATTCCTAAATTAGAACACCATGGCTGCATGGTTGATCTCTTAGGCCGTGTAGGGCATGATTTTCCCTTTCGAGCATTGAGTTGTGTGATGAAGTTAGTGGAGGTTGTCAACATTCAGTGTAAAAATATCATTCTTCTATCCTAAGAAGGGAAAGATGGAATATATAATGTATTCTAGTGTCTTCACGAAGTTGGAGTTTGTAATCCATATAATCTATCTTGGCCACAATTGGAATGGACGAAAAAGTTTTGGTAGGAGTTTGTGATGTTTTTGTTTATACACGAATAGTTATGGATATGGATAAAGCTTTCGCCATACACAAGCACCAACCCAATTCTTTATGTTTCAAATCATATGAATTTTCACAAGTTGTTGAGCTTACATAAGCCTTGCTCAGGCATCTTGAAGGACTACATCTCGTTCTTGAATAACTTTATCAATAACTTCAATGCAAGTGGATCCAAATATACATAGGAGTAAGAAATATCCATTCAATAGATTGGAACATACACAAAAATAAGTTGATGAATTAATGGTGAAAAATAGTTGATTGGAGAAGATGAAGTTTTGAGAGAAATTTGAGATTATTAGAGAGAGAGTAATTGAAGAGAAAATATTAAAATTGACATTAACACAAACACACATTACAAGAGGGTATTTATATGATACATCTAAAATAAATTGGAACCAAACATGCCCAAAAAACAACTAAAAAATTTCAAACTGTCGCAACAGAAATCGATTTCCCCAAACAAGAAAATCGATTTCTTGAACTAAAATATTGCAACTTCCAGAAATTTTTAACTGGTGGAAATCGATTTCCCATTTTGTGGAAATCGATTTCTTCTACAAAAAATTCAGATTTTTGATTTCCAGAAGTGTTTCTCAAATAAGCTGTTTCGACGAAACGATTCTTGAAGCTTCCAAAATACATTTGAATTATTATTAACTTCCAATACACCACCTTAATTCAAGTGTTCAACATTCTTCATACCTAAACTCCTCACAAGCTTCTTGAACACATTATTTGTCACGCCTTTCGTCAACAAATCCGCAAGTTATTCTTCGCTTCGACATATCCTAACTTCAGCTGGCCTGCACACACCAGTTTTCTAAAGTAATGAAATCTCATCTCTATATGTTTGCTCCTTCCACGTGCTATGAGATTCCTTGCAAGATTAATGGCTGAAATGTTATCAACCAAGAGCGTAACAGCTTTTTCTACACTGCTGCCCAGCTCCTTTTTAGCAGATTCACAAGCCACATAGTCTGACACGCACAAATCGACGCAACGATATACTCGACTTCACAAGAAGAGAGTGCAACCACAAGTTCCTTTTTATAGAACCAAGATATTGGAGCTCCGCCGAACATAAAAGCATAACCAACCGTAGACTTTCGATCATCCTTATATCCACACCAATTGAAATCCGTGTAACTGAGTACTCGCAATTTCTGCCCGTATCAGTTGCGGGAAAGAAATTCCGCAGCCAAGAGTTCCTTTGATGTATCTAAGGATCCTCTTAACTGCTGTCAAGTGAGACACCTTTGGCCTCTCTATGAATCTACTTGCAATACCGACACTAAACGCCAAATCTGGTTGTGTATTGCACAAGTAACGTAACGATCCAATCAATCTCCTATATTGTGTTGGATCCACATCTTACTCATCTTCACTTTTGGACAGCTGCAACATTTCTTCAGCCGGTGTTATGGAAGCATTACAATGCTCCATATCACACTTTTTCAAAATCTCAAGAACATACTTTCTTTGATGCATAAGCAGCCCCATATTTGACTTATGGAACTCTATTCCAAGAAAGTATTTCATTAAGCCAAGGTCATTCATCTCAAATTATTCCATAAGCTCACACTTGAACTTAGAAATATTCACTTCATTGCTATCCGTAATCAATAAATCGTCCACATATAAGAAAAGTATGATCACATCTTTGCTTGCATTCGTCTTCACATAAAC